GTGAAAGGGAAGGAGGGATTGGGGAGGACAGGACAACTAGGGCTAGGAGAAGGGAACACGGGACACAAAGGGAGTCTTTTTTTTATAGTTTTTTTTTAATAGTTTTTCACAAACACAGTACAAACACTAGGTGTAACGAACGTCAGGAGTGACAAAGGCCAAAGAAACAAACAAAAGCACATCTACCGAGTAACCCAAGCTGAACTACCTAAGGGAACACAAAGAAAATGGTGAAACGAAACAACAATGCCTAAATCTATCTCCCTGACCAAACAAACAATAATCCCCACGTTAACGAATAAACAAAAAGGCAGACACTCCCTACACACCTAGTGAAACACGAAACACCAAGCCAAGGCAAAGGCATCAAAAGGGAAAACCGAGAGGCAAAGTCGAAACCAAGGCGAAAGTACAAATAAGGGCGAGGCGAGAATCGAAAGTCAAGGGCAAAACAGTCATACACAATCAATCAACAAAGCAAAAGCGAACAAAGAGCGAGCTAGTAGGCGAGAAGCAAGTAGCGGGCAGCCGAAGGGACGAAGCGGCGATCTCTTCAGCCGATGAACCGGAAACTGCTCCAAGGGCAATGGAGGCGGGGTCGGATCCAGAGGGCGGAGTCGAGAGAGCAGTTGACCAATCGGCGGCGAGAGGGCAGGAGGTCCGAGCAACTTGCAGGCATCCTCCTAAACTTACGGCACATAACACAGGCTATTGGCAGAAGCAGTCCAAAGAAAGCGTTTGTTAGTTTTACCCCAAAGGATAGAAGTACCCTAGCTGGTTTGGTACTGGGATCTGACCGGAAGTCAATGGAAATGAGAAAGTATGGTACCTGGTGTGGTGGAAATGCGCCCTTAGATAAAGTTTTTAAATCTTTCAACTTTATTGCATGTAACCCTCAGTGAACAATCAATTTGCATAGCAGGATGTATATTTTTGCAGATTTTTTGTTAGCTTAGTTATTTTTTTCCTTTATCTCAGTAACTTGCACTTTATTTGATGAACTACTTTTGTTTATTGCAGAAAATAATGGTAATATAACAAAACTGATTAACTACTCCAGAGGCATAATTGACAGTTTATTTAATGAAGTTGTTTTCAAACTAATTTGAAAAATTAGGGGAAATAAATATGTTATGGTTACGAGTTGGGTTGCAGTGACCCATGTACTCCAGATCAGATCAGGTTGGGGAGCATGCATTGATGCAGTGCACTGCCGCACCCACCACACAGCGAAACTCCTCGGGAGCCTCCATTGACTCCACTGAGATTACGGCATCGTAGGCAAAGTCAAGATCAGTAAATCTTTCTTTACCAATGGACACCCCACAGACGCTGGAACCCACGACTCTGCCCAACACCCGAGTCCATACAAGCATTGAACAGAGTAGGAGCCAGAATACACACCTGGCGAACTCCAGAATCAACTTGGAAGAACACAGAGGTTCTTCGTCCACTCTATACAGCACTCACAGTACCAGTGTACAGGCTGGCCATGACGTCCAGTAACTTCGGGGGGATCACGCGAAGTCACAGGATGTCCCCCATGGCAGCTCTATTAACTGAGTCAAACTCTTTACGAAAATCGACAAAGGCTGCAAAGAAGCTCTGCCGATATTTGCACTTGCACTCGATGAGAACCCTCAGTGCAAGGATACGGTCGATGGTAGACTTCTTAGGCATAAAACCAGGCTGCTCCGGTTGCTGTCAGGCAAGCAAATGATCACAGATCCTGTTAAGGATGACCCTGGCACGGACCTTACCCGGCACTGAGAGCAGTGTTATCCCCCTGTAGTTATCGCAATCCAGACGATCACCCTTCCCTTTCCAGATAGGGACTACAAGTCCCATTTTCCAGTCAGTTGGGATGATGTCTGACTCCCAAATGGAAGCAAAGATTGCCTGCAATGCCAGGAGGACAGCCTTACCATCAGCCTGGAGAAGTTCACCCCAGATACCACAAATCCCTGCGGCCTTCACTCCCCCCAGCTAATTCACCACCAGTGCAATCTTAGTGAGATTAGGTGGTTCACAGCTGATCATAGGATCAGCTTCGAGAACCGTAGACCCAGAGATGTCCAACATCCTAGCAGGAGAGTCAGGTTTAAACAACTGCTCAAAGTAGCCCAGCGGGTCACAACTGCAGTGTCATCCGTAAAGACTGTCCCATCACGTGCCCTGACTGGAAATCTCCGAGGAACAAATTCAGATGTGCGTAATGCTTCGATTCCTCTGTAAGTGCGTCACTAGACCACAGATGGTGTATCAGCTGCTCACAAATTCATCTTACAAACGCCTCCGTATCTGCCCTCTTTGCCCTCACAGTGGTTCATTTCCTGGTACAGACTGGAGTTGCTACCAAGTCGTGTGCTGCGACTCCTTTCGATAATATCCAGGATGCCCTGCAAGATGAAACACCTCCTTCTGGGAACACTGGCAACACCAACACAGCCCTCAGCAACCATCAGGGTCTTGTCACTGAAGGCCTTCCGACTTTAACCACTCAAACCTGAAGTTTGTCCTGCCCGGAATATATAAAAACGTGAGCTTTCCGATGAGGGAAAATAACATTCTGGACCAGGTCTAAACCAACATTCCAGAGGCCTACAAAGCCACCCCTCTGCCACACTTTGGACTTTCAGACCACCTCTCTCTGTCCCTGATACCTGCCTATAAACCTCTAATCTACAGACAAAGACCAACAGTTAGAACAATTCGGGTGTGAACTGAGGAAGCCACCGCAGCACTACAAGACTGCTTTGACACTACGGATTGGGGAATATTTGCAGAGGGAACAGACCTAGAGGGTCACACAGCTGCTCTGCTCTCTTACATTAACTTTTGCACTGGGAGTGTTACCTCAACAAAGACTATTAAAGTGTTCCCAAATCAGAAGCCGTGGCTCAACAGCGAGGTGTGTGCCCTGCTCGGAGCACGAGATGCTGCCTTTAAGTCAGGAGATCAGCAGGCTTACAAAGAGGGGCACGTTGGTCCCTGCTGAAAGGCATCAAAAAGGCCAAGCGCAGACACAAACGGTGCATCGACACTTTAACCCTCTGGAGTCGACGGCATCGTTGGCGATGCCACGTATCTTTCACTTGTACTTCAGTTCATAACTTGACTTTTAAATATAGCCTATATATGCTGGATCATTAAAGATCTGAGCTATGTAATTGTTTCCTGAAAGTCCCATGTACATGTTTGTTTATTTATTTATTTATTTTAGAAAAAACTAGCACTAATGTGAAGGTTTAGTTCTTTTGACAGATGTTGTATGCAGTTTAACCATTAAAAATGTTTCTAAAAAGGAAACCAATGAGTTTTGTCTTTTTAAAGACTTTTTTTCTCTTGAATAATTACTATTGCTCTTTAATAAAAGTATTTCTTATCCAATTACTCAATTAATAGATGGAATAATCAATACGATACTCGATTATTAAAAGAATTGATTGCTGCAGCCCCAATCTCAACAAGTCACAGTGCCCGCTATGATAAAGTTAATTAGCTGCAATTTTCTTTTGTGGTGATTAAGTATAACTAATCCAGTAACTGGTTAAAAATCACGTGATTTTGTTGTATTTGCGTGTGTTTTATGGAGCCAACATCGAAAAGTTTAATTTGTAACTATTGTAAACTGTGGTGTGCAAAACAAGCTCCTCTGTGTATGTGAAGGGAGAATTCCAATGTCATTATTATGTTTATGGTAAAGTGAGGAAAATCTTTCATACAGTCCAAAGATTTTTTTCGTTTAAGATTTATTTTTATTTATTTTAATTAATTTAATTTAATTAAGGCCTATGAGCAAGTCTTTAGTTTTGCTTTGCTGTTTAAGTCATACACCTCCCTCAGCACACCACGTCACATCACCAACATATTAAAACAACGCATAGTGCCATAAAGGGAGAGTCCTGGGCCTGGTCTGCCCTGTCCACTGGAGTTACTGAGTGGAAAACAGCACATGGCCAGGGTTACATAGATATTTAATTATTAGTAGAAGCCCTATGCCTTTATTATTTAGAAATGTCACCAATATTTTAATAGATTTCCCCTCTCTAAACTGTTTCTAAAGCACACCCTCTCATTTCCAGTTCTCTATTGCTGTCAGTGGCCAATTCTCTGCAAGTCTCTCAGCCAAGTCGTTCGAGTTGGAAGTGTGTCCGCCGATGCATCACATCATATCATGTCGAATCGCACTGCATTGCAATATCAGTTAATTTTAGAATTTTTTGAATTAGGATCTGTGATCTGTGTTAACACACCACAATGCACAACAACAAAATGTGTCCTCTGCATTTAACCCATATGTGACATAGCAGAGGGCAGCTAATTCAGCGCTTGGGGGCGGTACCTTGCTCAGGGTACCTCAGTGGTGCCTTGCTGGTCAGAGATTCGAAGCAGCAGTCTTTCAATTAAAAGCGCACTTCCCTACCCATTAGGGCACCACTGCCCACAATTGTCCGTAACTGCCCATGATTTTATCGTATTGCAATAGTAAGGTACTTCCTGTGTATCTTTAGTGTATCGGATCGCTGGCAATGAATTGAGATGTGTATCACATCACCTCAGAGATTGAGATACACATCCCTAGTATGCATTCCAGCTAATTCAATTAAATTAGAATGAAGTTTTAAATCAATTAACGGGTCATTCCATACCAACTCAGCTAGACCTCCCAGTTCATGTCATGGATTTTCTTGAACAAACTAATTTATTTTTGAAATTTGACCCTTGGAGCTTTTTTCCAATTCTTTGTATGTGAATTCCAAACCTGAACAATTGCTTATTTTTCACTGGATTGGGTTGAAATGTAGTTATTTATTTTCCATGCTGAAAAGGTTAGCATTTTATATGAACCATTATATGAAAACAATTTTTATGTCATGTACTTCTCACTGTTGACTGAATTACTCAAGAGATTTTTTTCACCATAGTGAGTGATTGTGTGGTTTGACTTCTGATCCCTCAGAAACACACTAAATGTTTCTTTGTTTGTTTCTTCACAGTCATCCTTTGAGATCTACTTCCTGTCCATTTCTCCACTGGATTTCAGTAAATAGAATGGATTTTATAGAGTTGTGATGAATTGCTTTCTCTTCATTACACTTTTTTTAATGTGAAAATTTAAAAATGGCTGCCTCTGAAAGCCAGTTGAAGCTTGGACTTCCCTTTTTAAAAATTGCTTATTATTTTTGGATCTCTTTTGAATATGAATGTATATGATATTAATTAGACTAAAGGCCTGCCAAACAAGAATTATAATACAGTGGTACCTCAGTTCTTGAACTCATTAGAACTCAAATTTCTTAAAAGTCGAACCAACCAGTTTGAAAAAAATTACCTAGAACTCGATCTGAATCTCAGAAGTCAAACCGTGAACGCCGACCTAAGATAACTTGTACGTGCGGGGAAATTAGTCACGCGGCACATCTCTCAGTAGAGACAAAGGGTAACGCTTCTGTCTCAGCCTCGCATTCGCTGTGAGAGCATCGTGCATGTTTACA